AAGAGATAAAGCAATCCTTAGCAGGAAGAGTGAAGCAGGTGACATCACTATACTAGACCTTAAACTATACTACAGAGCAACAGTAACAAAAACAGCATAGTATTGGCACCAACACAGACTGGTAGACCAATGGTACAGAATAGAGGACACAGAGACTAACCCACAAAACTACAATTATCTTATATCAGACAAAGTTGCCAAGAAGAAGCATTGGATAAAAGATAGCCTCTTCAACAAATGGTGCTGGGAAAACTGGAAATCCATATGCAACAAATTAAACCCATACCTATCACCATGCACAAAACTCAACTCAAAATGGATCAAGAACTTAGAAATACAACCAGAGAACCTGCATCTAATAGAAGACAATGTAGGCCCTAATCTCCATCATATGAAATTAGGGCCCAAACTTTCTTAATAAGACTCCTATAATTCAAGAATTAAAATCAAGAATCAATAAATGGGATGGACTCAAACGAAAAAAGTTTCTTCTCAGCAAAAGAAACAATCTGTAATGTGAGCAGAGAGCCTACATCTTCGGAGCAAATCTTTACCCCTCACACATCAGAGCACTAATCTCTAGAGTATATAAAGAACTCAAGAAGCTAAGCATTCCAAATAACCCCATCAATAAATGGGCCAAGGACATGAACAGACACTTCTCAGAAGATGATACACAATCAATCAACAAATAATGAAAAAATGTTTATCATTGCTAGCAATTAGAGAAATGCAAATCAAAACCACTCTAAGATTTCATCTCCCTCCAATCAGAATGACAGCTATTATGAATACAAACAACAATAAGTATTGGCAAGATGTGGGGAAAAGGGTACATTCATACACTGTTGGTGAGATTGCAAATTGTTACAGCCAGTATGGAAAGCAGTAAGGAGATTTTGTGGAAAATTGGGAATGGAACCACCATTTGACCCAGCTATCCCTCTCCTTGGTCTATACCCAAAGGATTTAAAAATAGCATAGAGGGACACAGCCACATCAATGTTTGTTGCAGCACAATTCACAATAGCTAAGCAGTGGAAGCAACCTAGATGCCCTTCAATAGATGAATGAATAAAAAATATGCATATATACAGAATTGAATATTACTCAGCAATAAAAGAGAATAAAATCATAGCATTTGCAGGTAAATGGATGGAGTTAGAGAAGATAATGCTAAGTGAAATTAGCCAAATCCAAATGCCTAATGTTTTAATTGATATAATGAGGCTGATTCATAGTGGGATAGGGAAAGGGAGCATGGGAGAAATAGACAAACTCTAGACAAATAGACAAACAGGGAAGTGGGAGGAAAAGGGAGGGGGCATGGAGTTATAAATGATGGTGGAATGTCATGATCATTATTATCCAAAGTATATGTATGAAGACACAAATTGGTGTGAATATAGTTTGTATACCACCAGTGATATGAAAAAATTGTGCTCTATATATGTAATAAGAATTGTAATACATTCTGCTGTCATGTATAAATAATAATTTAAAAAAGAAATTAGAAGATAATAGCCTCCAATTTCCAAAAGACCCCATGGAATGTTTTCTGGGAGAGGGATGAAGTGCCACATTAATTTCCAGTAGGATATGGATAAAGGTGAGGAAGTAGTATCAACAAAGACCACTGGGACTATGAGGAGATAAATCCAAGAAGAAAACAAAAGAAGCCCCACCCCCCCATCTCATACAAATTCCCCATAATGTTGAGATGAGAAGACTAACAAATAGCTTTTCAACAGGATTGTTATTGGGTCCATGCCTTGGAGAGACTTCTAGCTCTTCTTACCCATCCAGGTAATCATGCATCTCTCCCCCAACCCTCTTCTTGCTCTGCTCATGATGAGATTTTATYAATACCTCAAGGTCACTTCACTATACTCCCCTCACTGCAGTATTTACATTGATAAATAGTCTACTTCCTTCTTTCATTARACCTCTACTCCTCCTTCAGTTATCAAACTAAACATGATTTCTCTTTTCCCCAATTCACACATTTCCATAGCACCTTCATGACACTCAAATTTATGCATGGTTGTGTTGTCAGTTGGGAGTGGAAAATCCATGAAGACAGTGGTGGTGTTTTCTTTCTRTGTCTGTCCTCCTGCCTGGAATTAAGTTTCTACCTCCAAATCACTTGATTTCTTTCCATCAACAAAATGACCTGAGAGGTTGTCTGTATGGTGTAGATGGATTTCAGATTCTCCAAATTGCTCCCCCATTCACTTGAAAGTGTGAGAGAGATTAAATGTTACTCCTAACCTCTGTTTCTTCATCTGAGATAAATGCTTACTGTGTTACCTATCATCAGATAATAGTGGCAATTAAGCCTGTGGTGGGGTGGGAGTGTAGGAACAAAGTGATASCACAKAGCAAGCAATGTGCACAATTGAGGTCCAATCATTCATCCTATCACTAAGGAAATACAGTTTAATTGATATAACTTAATACTGCATGAGCTAATTTCTAAGAATGGTCATCAGAGTATAACTTCATGCTCCCATATTCTCAGTTCAGTCTCTGGTTCTTTTCACATAAATTGCTATTATCAATGGTTTCCTTATGTCTGCCTTTGAAACAGAAGTACAACAAGTTGGATCAAGTAATCTCCATCTAGTTTTCATTTTGTAGACTTATTTCACCTCATCCATTATGTTTAAATATGTGAAACTTTCTTAATAACAACCTACAGGCATATGGCAAACACACAGAAATAGACAGTAGGTCACCTGTACATGTGATATGAGCTTCCTCCTTTGCAGAGCAAGATTGGTGTTTCCAGGGGTCAGAAGGACACTGCCAGAGAGAGGTATCAGTTTCCCGACAGTGGATTTTATCCACCCATCGGGGWCTAGAACCTTCCCTGGGAGGAAYCAAGAAATCTAGGGTCCCAGTGTCCCCACAGCCAAGCTGTCTGCAGATCATGGACAAAGTCATGGGTTCCATAGGGCTGTTGCAGATGCTGCCCCAGGTGTTGTTGTAGAAAACCTCCAGCCACCCAGCACACTCCTGGTCCTTGCTCACCAGCCTGAGGTCCAGGAACTCTAAAAGCAAGAGGAGGAAAACAGGGCACGGGTGAGCATTAAACTGTAACTGCTATTTTTTCTTCATTCCTATGTAGTGAGTACTCATTGCYGATTCTGATGAACAAGTGCCCACTAGGTGGAAGACTGAAATTTTTTTTCACTTTAATTCTTTTTGCTAACTTGTATCTCTATTTCTGTTTCTACAACAATGTAATATTAGCAAATGCATAGGCAGGAACACTGATGTGGGTGTTTATTCTGCAGAAAGTATCTACTATCTTTATCTACTATCTG